GCAGGTCATAAAACAGCTTATAAATTAAGACCAGTCTGTTAGTCTCGTATTATCTACGTCTCGGAACCTTTAATAGACTAAAAGGTATTGAATTAAGGGGCTAGTGTGTGTATTGCGAATTGTGCACTGAGCCAGTTTATGCGTATTAGGTTTACCTGGCTGGACTGATCTCCTAGTAAATAATAAAAAATTGCCCCCATTTATTGGGGTAAAGCAATAAAGCATCTTCTTCTTCTTCAAAGAGATTCATGTCTTTCGACTTTTTAAAATGGTACTTAGGTTGTCTGATGGAAGTACTTTGAGGCCATTCCAAACACCTGAAGAAGAAGAAAAAGAACACTTCCGAAAAGTCATATCAAGTGAAGTTCTATCTCATGGCTTCCTCTTAGGAAGCTGAACACAAGGCTTCAACCAGGAATAATTCTTTTTTCTGGTGCTATAAAAATTTGCTCTATTTCCCTTGAATCACAAAAAATAAAGAGGATATTAAAAGGCAGACAATCAGTCATTATTCAATTTGCCGCTCCCATCAGATCAGTAATGTCAATTCCTGCATCTCTTCTAAACTTAAAAGAATTTGATGACGTTAGCAGAAGAACTGTCGAAGCTCTAATCACACACTTGGATAAGATCACTTTTCCTCAAGTTTAGTGAGCAGGAATGCATTCGCATGTCCCAACAATAACTTGATTTTATGGAAAGAGGGGTGTGCGATAGACCTACCTCCATTTGGTGCATCCTGGGCAACGTATACTCATACAGCAGAAAAGTCTATTAACCTGCAGTTGACTTCTCACTTCAAACTACCAAGACCCCACTGCATTTCATATTCGAATAATTTCACAGTACTCACCTCACCTTTTTCTACCTTTGAGTCTGTCGGTCTCTTATGTCTGTGAAACATAATTCTGTCCCCCTCTCAACATTTTGCCACTTTGATGTTCATCTTCCTTTCTGTGAAGCCTGAAGTCAACCAAAGAGCCTGCCATTTGAAACACACTTTATGGAAAGAAGACACTTTTCATGCAATTTACATAAGTTTGGAAACGAATTACAGATTTTGCTTTCTAACAAAATTTTCTATTGATAATTATTTACGTTATTGAAAGTTTAATGAATTATGTTCTGCTGTAATTTATTTTCAAATCCATTTTACTCGAAAAAGTTTATGTTTAGAAGTGAATTCTATTTTAAATTTCTACTGAAATAGCATTCAAGTAGGAAAACTAATTTTTTGTGAAATACGCGGCATAGAATAATCCTTGTGAATGTTGCGTAAAGCACACCAATAAAACGATAAGACTGAGCAATACTACGCAATCTCGAACATTCTGGAACACGGTCACGTAAAGATGAATGCCGTTGGCAGCAAATGGGATCACAAGTGCAATAATCAGTAGACATCACAGTGACATTGTACTCAAAATAGCCTTTAATGATTACTCTCTGTGCTAATTATCAATGTAGGATAGACTTACCTACACGTGGTGCCCATCGGGCAAAGTATTCTCTAACGGCAAAAGAGTCTATTAATTGGCAGTTGAATTTTCACTTCAAACTAAGACGCAAATTCCGTGTTTTGAAATGGATATCTGCTGGTATGGACGAAATTTTATTTGATTGTAGGGTAAACAAACTTTTGTGTCACTGGGAATAGCCAAGAATGTAAATAAAGTGTTCAATGCAACAAGATGCACATTGACTTGGTGAATTTAGGGTTAAAAACCGAGGTTTTATCTCCTTTAGTTTATAGCACTTAACTGTTTATTAAATGAAGCCATAAATAGTATATGAAGGCGATCAAACGTTGGCTCAAGAAACTGACTGCGGAACAACTGATCAGCAGGAATTGGAGACGAGGGCCAGGTGAATGCTGGATATATCTAAAAGGTTGAGCAGGCTGGGGGGGGAGGTTAGTTAATCGAGAAGCAGCTGAAGTTGTCTGCGAATGGTGGTTAATATTGTCTATGAAGGTGATGATTCCCCACAATAGCTTCAATATTTTCAGAGCTATAAGAATCTGCCAATTGCTAACGACTCTGACAATCACCATTTGTCGTCGAAGAGCAGTAATTTACCCACTGGAAAATATCACTATCAACTACTTACGCAATTTTAGTAGGATATTAATCCTTTAATGTTTGGCAATTATTATTCAGTCCACTTCTTGTTTTATGGTACTTGGACTCGCGTAGCCCACCGAATATTCAATGAGTTTGCTTTGATTTATCCACCTCTCTATTTTAGCTGCCACTAGTAACTGTGAATTTATTAGTGAGCAATAGGACATTTTAATACGTTACTAACTTGATTAAAATTTTACTTGAATTGTCTGAGTAGGACACCGCTTACCAAAAGTTAAGGAGACTAGACTTAACTCCTCCTCAAATTACGTTGAAGTTGGGAGGTGGAAATGAGGATGGAATATGTCTGCTGAAATAAAATAGACCTAAATTATTATTATTATTATTATTATTAAGTAATAATAACTACAATCCATTGGCTCATACCCGAAATTAATCGGAGTACGTGAGTGAGATGGAATGTGGTTAAATGGACCTGAATATTGCCGATGCATGTTCATTAGGTGACAATAATGCTGACAAAGAAATTCGATACTTTTCCCATGAATTAAGCGATGGGAAAATCGAAAACATCTCCCACCGCCTCCTTTAGGTAGTATTGAAGAAGTATTCAAGAATTTAAAATAGTAAACAAATTGACGTTTATAGTTAGGCCCTTTAATTAAAACGCCGAACCACTCAGGCTTTAGAGGTTCAATATAAACCAACTATAATCCAAAATCATTCAAATTCAACTGAGTTCGAACCTCTAAAAACAGTCCCACAACAATTTTCTATCAAAAAATTCTCTTGTTGGCATTTCATGTCTGTTTGGCATTCGTATTAAATCATTCCAAGCATAAAAAGTTATAACTCTGGCATTTGGTAACATTTTCTTAATTGTAACTGACAAAGCACCAATCATGTCAGTTGAACTATGTGGCTATGTATATATATATATATATATATATATATATATATATATTCTGTTGTGCGAAAACGAGTCGTTTTAAGAAAACTGTCGAGGTTTTAAAATTTTCGTTAAATGAAAACATCTTATTATCCGCTTTCAACAAAGAATGGACTATAAATCGTTCTATATTTTCTCTAAATATTAATTATTTTGTTACACTGTAATTATCACATAAAGATCTGATTAACCGGACTAAAATTTACTGAAATTAAATATTGCATATTTAATCCATATGATTATAAATTCTTATTCTCCAATTTTTTATTTACAAACGCGGTTTAAATGAGAAGGTGTGCCGATTTAACTATAAAACCCACAAAATAAGCTTTTTCACTGAAGTAAAGTGCCGAACAGTGAAATTTGGATAAGTGCATTTTTATCAAAAAGTAGCTTTTAACCCTTAAACGGTACTAGACTTGTAGCACAGAAGACGCTATTACCGTGTGGAACATGTTCAATACATGCCTATAGACTTCGTTGGCATCAGTCTGCTGTGTGACACGCGTGAGTGCTGTTGGATGAGTTTTTCAAAAATATCATTCGGGTGTTAAAGGGTTAAGAAAGCTTGGAAATTTTACTCAAGTTTTAGTGAACATGACTTCACATTTTGCTATAGCTGCATAGACGCATATTTTATAACATTCGAAGAAGTACATTGGCCGGAAATTTGCCGGGGTTTAAAAATCGATTGACTCGAATCAATATACAAATGAGAAGTTTGGGTGCTGCTAAGTTAATTCTGAACGTGAAGCGCCTCAAATGCTTACTTTCAAGCGCAGTACATTAAAATGACCGAAGAGTATTTCAGGTACCATGGGGTGGGCGATAGACTTACCTCCACGTAGTAACTCATACGGCAAAAAAGTCTATTAACCTGCAGTTGACTTCTCACTTCAAACTACCATCACCCCAATGTATGTCACATTCGATTACTTCCACAGTACTCACCTCACCTTTTCCACTTTTGTGTCTGTCTCTTTTACATCTTTGAAACACTCTTCTTTTCCACCCCCTACTCTCGAATTTTTTCACTCTGATGTTCCTTCCCTCTGTGAAGCCTGAAGTCAACTAGAGGGCTAATGATAACCATCAAATAAATAAATTTCGGGTACCATAGGAATATCCACGAAGTCTCCTTCACTTCCTTTTCCATTTTGAATGAATATTTGGAATATGTACACAGATATTAACAGCTTGGGGCGTGCGATAGACTTACCTCTACTTGGTGCTCCTCGAACAGCGTATTCTCATGCAGCAAAAGAGTCTATAAACCGGCAGTTGACTTCTGTCTTCAAGCTACCATGACCTCACCGTATCTCATATTCGACCACTTTCTCCATAGTACTCACCTCACATTTTTCTTTGCCTTTATGCCTCTCTGTCTCTTGAAAATCTGTAAATTATTCTTCTATTCCCCCTCCCTCGACTTCTTCTCACTTTAATATTCCTTCTCCTTTCTATGAAACCCGAATTCAGCTAGAGAGCTAATGTTAAATATCATTAAGCCTGCCATTTGAAATAAATTAATATAAGCAGCTTTGAAATGGAGCATTTCTTATTAACGTGGTATTTAGTTCACTTAATTTCCCTATTGTTGACACTACTTTTTCTTTCTCAATTTTCTCTTATTGCCTTGTGGTGAGACAGAACACACACTTCCCTATGAGAAAAAAGTGACAAATTGCACCCCCAATATAAAACCCCCTTATGCATAATTGAACGAGCAATCGATAGTTTGATCAAGTTGAATTAAAAAGCACCGCGCATCATTATCAACTATATCCGATCTGCACTTTCGAATAAAGTGTCAAATGTGATATTTTATTTATACTTTTTTTATAAACAGCGCTCAAGACGTGGCGATTTAAAGCGAAAAAAACACGCAGAGTAGTAAATTTAAAATTTAGAGTATTCGCTAATGTAGCGGTTGAGCCTTTTATGAGAAGGAGGCGAGGGCGAGATTTCTAGTGGTTGGCGCAGAAAAAGCCGCTGTCTTTGCTGACGAATTTCTTGCCATCCAGACAGGCTTTGCACTGCGCGCAGGTGAAGCAATCTCGGTGGTAGGTCGCATCCTGGTAGATTGAATACTTGATGGTTGGGTCGATCTTCTTGTTGCATTTCTGCAAAGAAGAAGAAGAAGAAGAGGAAGAAGAGCAGAGTCAAAAGGAGGTGAGCAAAGACGCAGAAGTCAATGATAAGCTACACTGCTTCTATCTGGCTTACCGCACAAGTGGGATCGAATTTCGCCTGACGGCATTCAACGCAGTAGTTAGATCCCTCCTTTTGGAAGAACTGCTTGCCTTGGAGTGGAGTTTTGCATCCCGCGCATGCAAAGCACTCGTTGTGCCATTTCTTGTTAAGGGCCAGAATAACTTGTCCGGTGATTTCCTTGTTGCACTTTGCACACTTTTCAGGCATTTTAATGAACTGCACATTAAAGTGGGAAGGGGTGAGGGGTGAGGGGGGAGGGGGGAGGGGGAAGGACAATTAGTAAGATTCAATTCCGGAATTAATTGGATAAAAATCAAAGTTTTTTTCACACCTTTATCTCGACTTACCTTCTTCAAGTGGGTCGGTTGGGTATGCTTTCGGCGTGGCTATGTCCTCGTTAAATAGCTGCATGGGAGGTTCCTTCGGCCAATGAAATCCAATCTTGGCGCATTTGTCGATATTTCCCGCCTCGTTCATTGGTTGGGATTGCACTATGTTCGATGATTATTTTGGTTATTCAAGAGGGAGGAAAATTAATGACACTTGAAGTTCGCCTGCACACACTAATAAGCCAATTTATAATTTGTTTTCTCTTAACTATGCTGATAGGTTTTATTGACCAGTGATTTCTAAGGTAGTTTTTTTACTATATTTAAATAAGCAGATGGGGGTTTAAGAAGAACCATTAAGTGTATAAATCAAGGCGACCTTTATTGAATTGTGGGGAACTTCATTACCTATGAAATAAAGACATAGAGGCACAAATTTAGTTACAAGGAAAAGCGATAAATATATTCTAAATACCCTTGATATTTGCGCTTGATTGGAGCAAACATTTCGATTTTGAGTAAGTTCTGAGTGAAGCTTTATGATTTCATAATGACTCATTTTTTTTAAAATAATTACTGTATTGATTTCTTCTAATAAGGTAGAAAAACGCACATGAGTGGATCAATTTTTAAAAGCTCTGTTTCACAAGACCGTAATATGCATGAAATAGTTCTTTCTTATTGAGATGTATTAGGTTGGCAACTAAGTCATTGCCGATTTCAAATAAGAAGGCAAATTCGGAATTTTTGTTTAAAAATATAACTTTATTCAATTAGATATTGGCCATCTTGTCGATCGACCTTTTCCCATCGTTCTGGCAGAGTAAAACTTCCCCGTTCGACTTTTTCCATCCTTCTGGCAGAGTAAATATTTTCCGTTCGGTCATCGTTCTGACCATCCTTCTGGCAGAGTAAAAATTCCCCGTTCGTAAAATTGTTCGTAAAATGTCTGGTCTTTGCTATTAAAAAAACTGAACTTTGTAAAATGTCTGGTCTTTGCTATTAAAAAACTGAATTCGGTGTGATCCGACATCATCCGCGTTGTTAAAAATTCCCATGAGTTTTGCATGGAACGAAACAAATGGTAATCCGAAGGCGCAAGGTGAGGGCTATATGGTGGGTGTGACAAAACATCCTAACCCAGTTCCTATAATTTTTACCGAGTAACCAAAGTTGTGTGGAAAACAACACCCTTCCGATTTGATAATGCCGGC